ATTATAAAGAGCTAAATTAGCTCTATTTAAGTATAATAATTATAACCTTATAAGTCTTATAATTAACGTTATATTTATAATTAAAATTTCCTTTTATACTATATATTATACTATAAATGTAATTATAGTAAAATTAAGTTACACTAAAAATTATAAAACTATACTACACTATAAACTACACTAAAAAACTACATGTAGTGTAGTTTTTTTGTTAATGCTCTGCTTATAGCTTATAAATGCTTTAATTATAGGATATTACTTCTATTAAAGTAAGTAAAGAACGTGTTTATATTTAAATTTACTTAAAATATATATTTCTTATAGCTTTAATGCGCTACATTCACGTGTGGCCTGCCTGATCTTAACGACATGTAGCTGATCTATGCCTCGTGAAGGATTAGCGGGGGTTACATTATGTGCGGCCCGCTGGTCGCGGTATGGAAGTCAGCTAGTTATTAGCGCGCTAAACTGAACAAGCCTTGTTCTTCTGAGGTGTGGTTGTAACCAGCAGTTGGGCTGTGCTTCGCCGGTCAGCACCATCCGTTTTCCAACGCATTGACGTAGAGTACGGTGGCAAACGGTTCTCTGTCCTCCAAAAACGGACACCACATCCTCCAAAAATGGAGGCTCACTCTTCCATATCTGGAGGCCTTAAAACCCCGGAGAAGAGCTTGACGGGATCGTGAGTTTTACTGGCGGCTGTGGTCGGGTGTTGCATTGACCTATAGCCGCAGGATTTCACTTCTTGGTCATTTTGTCAGATTGAAAATGTCCATTGTCTTTGGGGTGGTTAGCAGAGATTCAAGAGCGTTAATAAATGGCCTGTGCCAGGAATAGGCTAGACCGAGAGGACAAAGCTCAGCAGCAGTCGGAACAGAAGAAGCGGCGTCGTCCAGGGAAGCGCGAGTCCGGAGATGCCAGGGATGGGTCTTGGCACCTTGCCGTGATGCAAATAGACAAGCTGCACAGAAAAGGTTCACAGGAAATGGTATTTGAGTTGCCGTAGTTGACATTGATGTAAGTTTTCATTCCCCGGGCGAAGTTGGACAACAAACCACAGTGGTCAGAATTGGGTCGACTATACACACGCTGTACTAGGCGCCTGCACGGCAGTTGGCCACCATTATCTAGTGGGTACTCCGTACCGGGGATAACTTTGCTTCTGACGGGCAAAAAGGAGACCCGATCGACTGTGAAGGGCACCGTACTTCTGGGCCAATGCCGGTAAACACGTCGGTGTGGCACCTATCGCAACGCTCGTGGCGTACCTCGTCGTTGACTGTAAAGGGAACACCAAGGGTTGTTGGGAAGCGCCTGGATGGCGCACGACGCACGTGGTCTGTTGCGGTTCTCTGGCTTGGGTACGGTCGGCCACATGGTGTTGCTCCCATTGGGCCTTACCTGATGTAGTCCTTTCACGATCACTTGAATAGGTCAAAAGATAAGAAAAAAAAAAATCTTTAAATTAGGCTCAACCACCCTCCCACCCCCCCGGGCAAAAATAATTTAAAACTTGATAATAAAAAGGGGCTAAATATCAGGCTAACTGCGGGTCACTTCCGCATATGCAACTAGACTTATTCAAAGCCATACGACTTCCACTGCGCATTCACTTTATCCTGCACCTCCTGTGGATAAGATGCCCGGAATGAGCCCTGTTCCCAAGTCCGAGGCGCATTCGTAAACTCGGAGGGAAACATGCAACACCGCAGCACCTTCTTATACTTGCCGCCCTCTGGCTTCACACCATGCGTAAAGTATGGAATCAGCGGGAAAACAGGATACTGGTCAAAATAAAACTCATTAACGCCCGGCTGGCAGCGCGTGGCCTCGGCCCAAATGAGATCCTGGATGCTCGTCGGGTCGACATCCTCACCGACGAGATACAGCTTGGGGATGTAGGAGCCGGGCTTGGACGCAAAGACGGCGTGGCCGACCTTGTTGCCAAAGGTGCTCATGTCCGTGTTCAGCGCGCGCAGCTTGGGCCCGTCGACCTGGAGGACGAACCAGAGGCAGTGGGACTCGAAAGGGTTCCATACCATCTTGATGGGCAGCCCGGCGGCCTGGCAGACGGACAGCACCTCTGCCGCCTGCGTCACGCCCCAGACGGTATGGTTCTCCTCTACTGCTCTACCGGCGACGCACACTGGCACTATGGGGTCCTTCCTGTAGGTTATGGCGTCGACGCGAAACAGAGGCTTCTCGTGGCTCTCTCCTGGGAAGATGAGCCCGTGGTACTCGGCCATGGGCCCTTCTGGCGCAGTCTCGGTGCTGGACACGACACCCTCGAAGACCAGCTCCGCGTTGGCGGGGACGAGGATGTCGCTGGTCTCGCTCCTGGTGACTTGCACCGCACTCCCGGTAAGTGCGCCGATGTAGTCGGATTCATTGACGCCCTTGGGAAGCGGCATGCCGCTGACCATGATGGCCGCAGGAGGCACGCCGAAGCATAAGGCAAACGGCATGTCCTTGCCCTGCTGGCGCCACATTTCTCTAATGACGCCAATGTCCTGGCTGGGGATCACCGGGCCGACCAAAGTTCGCTTGCCATGGAGCATGGCCCGGGTGATGGACCAGTTGACCCAGGATCCATCAGGACTGCGGACAATGTACATGCCAAAGGTTTGAATGAATTTGCCCCCATCGTGCTGATGTAGAAAGGGCATCGGCAGGGCGGTAAGGTCAATTTCATCTCCAACGAGCTTGAACTCCTTGACGGGTCCCGAGGGTACCTCCTTGGAGGGAATGGCAGGCAGTGTCTTTGCATGGTTGAGCTTTTCAATAATGTCTGCCGCAGTAGCGTCGGAGGGCAAGCCCAGCGATTTTGCGATCCTGATGTACCGCTTGCCGGGAATTTTGCTGACGCCGACGGGTGCGCCGAGGATTCGAAAAAGCCCATTGTCGTTGCGGCCCTGAATGTTGTTGAAGAGCGGCGCCTTCTCTTCTTCCTCGTATACCCTGCGTATAATGGCTGCCAGCTCCAGGTATGGGTCTACTTCTGAGTTTACTTCAAGCAAGTCTTGTTCGTCCTTGAGCTCCTGAATGAACCGGCGGAAGCTCATCGCTGGGCCGTCCCCGTTTTCACCGCCGCGTTGGTGAGCCATGGTGTGTAAAGCTGACTTCAAAAATGCTTTTGGTAGGTGACTGTAAGGCAGGTATAAAGACGCAGTGGCCAATCAACCCAAGGGCGACTCGGCGTCTGGATATATGGGCTGCGAAGGCCAAGTTCAAAGATGGGAGCTTTCCATGAAGATTCCCGTGCTGCCCCGTCTCGGTCCGGCAGGTGTTTCCGACCATCCGACGGCGCGGTAAGGTCCCTTTTAGTACCCACCCGTGGCACCCGATATTGGCTCCACACCGGTAAGGGTTAGGGTTGGTATTCAGCTCCCGTTAGCTGAAGTTTTAAAAGGTGGAGCTGGTGTCAGGTTACATGCCGGACCGTGTGCCAGATCACGTCAGAGGCCTCGGTTTGTCCGAGTCAGCACTCCCTCGACTAGTGTTATTCCCGTTGGCAAGTCTGTAAAAGCTTGTCAACGGTCCTGTTTAGACCAGGCATTCGCCCGTCTTGCAAACATCAACCTGGCTGTTCAGCAAGGCCGACATGGCAACAAGTCAATCTGGCTCAAACGGCCATGCTCCCCCAACCGGGGCTTTACTACCACATCGGCGGCGCAAGAAAATCATTGTGGCCATGACGGGAGCAACAGGTGCCATTCTCGGCATCAAGACGCTGCTGGCTCTCCGCCAACTCAACGTCGAGACGCACCTCATCACGAGCAAGTGGGCAGACAGCACGCTCAAGTACGAGACCGACTACACGACGCAGGCAGTCCGGGCGCTCGCCGACCACGTCCACAGCAACCACGACATGTCTGCACCAGTTGCCAGCGGCTCGTACCGCGTGGACGGCATGATTATTATTCCTTGCAGCATGAAGACGCTTGCCGCCATTAGCTCGGGCTACTGCGATGACCTCATTTCCAGAGCTGCCGATGTTATGCTCAAGGAACGGAAGAGACTTGTCTTGGCGACGCGGGAGTGCCCCCTGAGCGGCATACACATCAAGAACATGGCTACGGTTACGCAAAACGGGGGGATTATATTCCCACCAGTGCCGGCGTTTTACACTAGACCCTCCTGCATAGATGACATTGTCGCCCACACAGTGGGGAGGATATTGGATTTGTTCGATTTGGATAGTGAGGAATTTGAGCGGTGGCAAGGCTTCCAGAAGGAGTAGCATTAATGGTTGGTGCGGCGCTCGTTGAGCGGTATTCAATGGAAATGCATTGTGGTCATATTTGTATAATTGCCCCATGAGTGACAGAGTTTGACCACGTTGGCGGCATGTCGACGATCCGCATGCCCTCTGTGTATATTAATTTCAGCGCGATGGAACCTTGAATCATCTCATTTTCTCCAATAGATGACACTGTATCATCAAGAGACCTCTCGTCGGGTGAAAACCTTGACAGCAACGTGTTGACCCCTTGCTGCCGTGAGTGCTCATGGCCTGGATCTTTCAGCCCACATGGCCGACGCCAGGCCAAGCATGACATTTTCCGTCCCTTCATTCACTGGAGTACGACTGTACACTTTTACTCGGCTTGGGCCGCACTATAACCCTGGTTTATCGAGTGTTCAACCCCTCCATCTCTCGACTGATTTCCCCCACCATGCTACTACCAGCCGCGTGCTTTGGGTTTACTTCTCCTAAGCGCTTTACAGCCCAACGCCAAGACAAGCCACTACCGAATGCGGCAACGAGCTAGTATTCGAGGAGGTGACATCATTAATCCATCCAATTAAATCTCAGTGTTGGTAATGGCGCCAAAAACACCGGATGCGGTGACAGGTGGGAAATGCCTTTTTTGAGTGTCTGGCAACTTTGGGCTTGCAAGCGGCATTCCTGCCATGGAGGGCGGCGAAGGCGGCCGGACATGTCACATGTCGGACCTGGCTCAGGATAGGATCGAGAGCTCGGCGGCGAAACTGCACCGTGTGGAAGTCTCGACTTTCTTTGCGACCTTTGCAAGTCTGATGAGAATTGTCGTGCTTGCCAAGACTGCAAGCAACAGTGCGACACCGAGAACAATTGGGACGGGAGCTTGTAGGCTGCCATCCGCAATAGGTTGCGAGGGGCGGTGAGGAGAGCCTTCAGTCGATAGAGCAGCGGGTTCTCGACTGGCGTGGGGGCAAAGGCCCTTGGACTCGGCCTTGGATTCACTTCTCCCCCGGCTCTCCTAGCTTTCTAGGACTACACTACCGTCTGGTCGGTTTCAACAAGATCGCCGTTAGGGAACACGTTAGAATTAGGCATAGTACTCCCGTGACAACGCTCGAGTTCTGTTTCTCCACTTATTGTCAAGTCTAGGAGCAAGCCTCGTTCTACGAATCCAAGTGCCATCTGGCGGTGTATAAGCCGCGGCATTCCGTGTGGCCCAAATAACGTGCTTGTTTTGTCCCATGTGCGCCGTGACGTTCAACACCATCTTGGAGCATCGCAAGTCCCGGCAGTCAGACACGGGAACCGGGCCGACGATGGGACGGGGACCCACACAGAGCATTTCGGCTGTCCTTGCCGCCCGCTGGAGCGTCTCGTGGGAAGCTCGCTGGCCTGCGTCGGAACAGCACGGCCACAGCTGAGCCCCATGTTCGGGATATCACGAGTCCGGCTTTGACAGCCGATGCTGCGCGACACAGCCGCTTATTAAGCAAAACCATGGTGTTTGAATCGTACTCAAGCAGGGAACTAGTCTCACATCTGGCTTTTGTCCTACACAGTCGGCTTCCGGTACAGCGAAGTTTCTAGTTGGCCAAGGCACAGAATGTTGTAGAAATATTCCGCATTATATATGAATACCACGGTCCCAAGTCGTTGAGTCTCTCGGTAATTCTAAGGCAGCATCTAGAGTACCCTAATAACGGCACTTGGATCCGACAAGGTTATGCTGTTTATTTTGGCCTTGATCGTACGGCTGACGAGCAAGACTGCAGCTAAGCAAAGAGCGAATGATGCATGTCCAACAAGCACAGGTGGATCAGATCTGGAAGAGATACGTAGGTCCCGTTCTTACCCGTCGCGAACTGTTGGAACAGGCGACTAGTAACGTGAGGATAAGATGCAGGTGATCTAACAGATCTATTTATAATAGGCCTATCCCTTAACCTTTACGCTAAGGGGTAAGGAATAATATAAGATGTTAAACATATATTACACTTGCAACACGAATAAATAAGACGGCAGACTAGCGAAAACAGAGACTCTTGTACTCACAAGGCCCCACGCTTCCGGTATTACATGATACATCCCACCTCTGCCACGGCAACTTCCTCATGTCAGTGAAAAGCTGCCAATCCACTGGCGGTCCATGTCAATGCCAAGGGACTCTAAAACTTCGGTCCATACTGAGGGGTCTTCGGAATTGTCAAGGGAAGACGATACACCATCTGGCTGTTGGCTACCTGGCAATGTCAGTGTCTCTTGAGAGCCGGTGTCGGCAGTGGTCGCTTCCTCCATCGACGTAGTCGGTTTTATGGTGGCGCGGATTTTGGTAAGGAGAGCGTGGCATGCACAGATGTACTTGTTGCCCTTCTCGGCCATGCTATGCAATACGTGAAGAGCCGTATCCATAGCGGTGGCGTTTTCTTGGCGATACGGAAATGCCATGTTGACCATGACGAGGAGAAGCGCGGCTGAAAAGGCTTGCTCGCCGTCGATGAAGCCGTATGTTGCTGTGGTTATAGGGCCTTGATGGTTAGCGGCACGTACATGATGAGACGTCCGAGGCAATTCAAGAAAAGCTCACCAACGAGGTTATATGTAGCGGCCGCGTTGAGGATAGATATGCTGGAGCGAGCAGCGGCAATGGACGTCTCAATGACGCGGACAATGTCTGGGGGTAAGTCATCCTCCCAGCGAGACATGTTCATGCGCTCGCCATCGGTCGAGTTTGCCGCCATCTGCCGCTGGACAGCGTACAGCAGAAGCGGTCGAGCCGTCATGTTGATGCAGTGGTAGTAGTGGAGATGTATCGAGGCCATCTCACGCTTGATGGGCTTGTCGAGGTCTGCTTGGTCGAGCCGCATGTCGGCGGGTAGTTGATGATGCCAGTCCGTAAGACTATTCATAATGCCCTGGATCGAAGCCATTAAGGTTGTGCCTGAATGGGGCTTTTTCCGGTATATATCCTGGCCGATGCGACCTAGTATACGGGACAGTTCCGTGTAGCCTCGCAATACGACTGAGCACTGCGGATCCTCCCCGTCCATGGCGCTCGGAAATAACGCGTTGATGTCGCTGTCGTTGATGGAGATGGGGTTGCCGGAGGTGACGCATAATAACCGCTCCAGACTGTACACAGACCACCACACCCGGCGGCGTCTCTCGCGTTGATTGCTATCCATGTCTTGACCCATGACTTCTTGGTGCAATCCAAGTGACACGGCCATGCGGAGGGCGAGGCCGGCGTATAGGTAGGCCGAGTCACGCCTGTTTAGCGTCTGCATATAATAGGCGACATAGCTTAGTACCTCAATAAATAGAACGGAGCCATCTTCGTGGATATCGGGAAGAAACTGCAGAGCACACTTGAAGAACTGAAACCCGGGGGGCCCCTCGTTTCCCGTCCACTGGTTCACCGAGTACATTTGGCCAAAGGCGAATACGAGGAGTATCTGGCAAAAGGTCAAGCAGTCATCTCGGTCGTTTAGGTCTGGCGGAGAGGCATATATGCGTTCTACACGGGTGCAAAAGCTGTCGGCGGTGAGAAAAGAGAATATGGTTCCAATATAGGCGTGCTGGGCAAGAAATAAACGCTTGGCAAAGTCGCGAGGCGGCAGCTGACACATGTCGGAAATTACGGGACGTCTCAGCCATGAAATGTCATCGTAATGAGGATGCATATGCCACGCAAGCGTCTCAGTCGTCGGGTTGAGGCGATTGGCGAGGTATGTTGACGACGAATTGCCCATGTAGTCTGGAGGGGATACGAAGTTAGTCTCTACCACGGTCTCATGGCCAGGAAAGACTTGCGGTATTGGCCAGGCTGGGTAATCACCCAGTTCTCAGTGCTATTGAATGTCCAATCCCTGGTATTTGTCATGGTAGTGTCAGTCGGGCTCGGGGGGGCCTGGTGTATCCTGGAGCTGGCCGCCTTTGCTTCCGACTGTAGTTTGAGCAAGTAACTGCAACAACGGCTGATGAGCTATACAGATCTGGAGGCGAAGAATAGACATGTACCTTTCCGGTACGCTCACGCGTTTCTCCGTCTCGGAGTAGACACATGGCTGGCCGACATCTCTGCAAGCAGCGCATGGGGCTGGAGGCGAGCCGCAACATTTGGATTTTCGTCGTCGGCAGCGGTCGCAACTGCACACCCATTAGCATCTGCCACTTGACAGCGACACGGTGAGCCCTACGCGACAGATGATCTCCGAATGGTATCATACGGAGCCTGGTGACGTCGGGCGTGCCCTTTGGATGCCTGCATTGTTCATTTCGTACAGAGTGGAGAGAGGTGAAGCAGTGCGCAATTGTCACGGCCACATTCACGCCGCTGCTTGGACTGCCACGTGATTCCAAGTGTCAACTGACAGGCTCTCATACGCATTGCCTGCCTCTCATGCAAGTCATTACCTTTTTAACAAGGGACGGTTTATCTGGCCACCGCCCTGGCGGAGTTGGCCACGAGTTTGTGGCTTACTGTGGCTCCGACTCGGAGACTCCTGATCCCAGGCCCCTATACATTTTACTGTGGGCATCACGTAAACGCTGCCTTGCCTTGGGAGTTACTAGTATATTCCGACTCCGGCAGCTGACAGGGCCCAGCCACAACATCGTCGCCGACTCCGCCAGGGCGGTGGCCAAAACCGTCGACGGTCCCTTGTCTAAGGTTAAGCCACTGCAATTCCGGCGCCGGCCGGCACACGTTTGAGCTGTTCCAGTGCGAAATATCGGTGGGCCACATGTGTTGAAAGTGTCGAGAGGTAACTGTTCAATGTCTGGTGGTCTGGTTGTATCACAGTTCAAATGTTGTCCCCCAACCTGCAGCAGCCTCACTCTATATATGCGCTAATCGTTATCCTCACGTGACTACTCACCTCCAACACGTACTCCCCGACCAAAGGAAGCAACATCCCGCCAGCATGAGCATCGCCATGAGGCGATAATTTCGTCATAGTTTCTTACGTTTACTTGGCGACCGACGGGGAGGCCATTATGATAGATGGGATAGGAAGCTGGGGGTATCAAACGGCGGACTTGGCCGACATATCCTGCCTCTCCGTCAACTCCATGCCATGACTCTTGGGCCTTGGCCCAGCGACTTCTTGCCCAGGCCAATTACCAGTTGACGTTTCTGCTGTCGGCCCCACAAACCGATCATCTTCAGTCCAAGCCCCAGCGTCGGTCCGGTTCTGGGGAGGGATGGGAGTCCATCTGTCTACTCTTCGGAGTGAGGGAAGCTTGTTCTCGACAGGGTGAAAGGGTATTGTGTATGGCAAGTGTTCAAGAAACTGTTTGTTCGAGTTGATTAGACATCCACCTCAGGCGCAGGCGGAATGTTCTTGACCTCGGTTGCCCCCGTGTCTATAAATTTGTGCGGCCGCTTTGATAGTTCTCACTACGCCAACCCTAAGCACAACTCACGGACCTACGGCGCTACAAGCTATTAACTCGAAAGCATATGGGATGGACCCGTCGAGCCTAACCACGTCGTCGTCGGTGACCACCCCCACACTGTTCCGCGGGCGCCGCGAGGGTTAGACTCGGTTTGCCACGTTAATATGAGCTTCTAACAACCGTGCTGGTTAAAGCCCGTTTTATCAAAGCTGTGGAAATCCATGTCTTCATCCTGGATGCCGTATTTCGCGAGATTTAGTTGCGAGAAAGAAATCAAGGACGTCAAGCTTGCATCGCCGCCTGTTCTCTTAAAACCGTCCTGATTTGCTAGGCCAAGTGGCGCAATGGACCTGCTAGCGAATCCAGTTGCGCATTTCCATCGCTACCAACGAGTCCATGCTGAGATAAGACAGTGGTTGTTCCAACGGGATACTACTGCCTTGATCTTTGATAAGGAATATGGCCAGCTCAGCTGCCAGTACCTCAGCTGTGGCGGCCGTCTTATCCCCAGAGCGAGAACTAGAGCGTCTAGGAGGTTCCTTTCGCTGAAGATGCGCATGCCCATGCGTCCAAAGTTATAAAACGCTTTGATTTTGCGAAACAAGGCCTACTTCGCCCATGACGCCGAGGTCAATGACAGAGGCGACCAGTCCTCGTGTTGGCGGAACCGTACAAATGCATCCAGGAACCCGTTGGCTGCTGCGTAGTTGGCCTGACCATGCTGGCCCACAATGCCAGGGAAACAGAAGAAGAGAAGGAAGAACTCGAGTTCTATATTCATTGATGTGGCCTCGTGCAGGTTCCATGTACCACGGACCATGGGCTCGACCGCCGTTTGCCAACCATCAAAGGTCATGTTTGCAAGCCTTGTGTCCCTCGGATCCATGGACAGGTTCATAACACCGGCAAGGGGCCTGACAGCCGTGACCTTGTTGTTGAGGGCTCTCTGGACGTTGGCCATGTTGTTGACTCTGCCGTTCACCAGGAGCCCTTGTGAGTGAAACTCTTGCACAGACTCGTCGGTCCCGGGCTCTATCTGGGCGGATCTTGCCAGAAATACGAGAGATCGTGCGCCATTCTCTCCCATCTATGTGGCGGTGCCTCGCCCAAGCCCTCTAAGACCTCCTACAAGTAAGTAAGTGCAGTCTGACCCGAACTGGAAGACTGGCGGTTGATGCTGATGTTTTTCTCTGGATTAGCCTAGCTCCTCCGTATTATGCGTCATTTGGACAATCATCTTCCTAATATGCCTGACCGTTTACATTGTCCTCGGGACCTGCTGGATGTAGGCTGCCTTGAATGTGTTCGAGATAGTCGGGTCGTATATATGCCTCTAGCGAATCCATTGGACAAATCGCCCCTGAAGGGAGCCCGCCCTCTCGGGAAAAGACTCTTGGAGAAATCGCAGCTTAACGCCGAAGAAGCTGCGGTTCGCCTTAAAGGGAGCCATGGCCAGCATCCCACGCCGCTGGAAGCTTGCTTCCCGATTTGCACCATGGTTCTATCTTCCGCCACACACTGCCACGGTGCATGTAGCAAGTCTGCTGATTTTGAGTTAAGTACTGTCTACGTCTTTCCAATTCGTGACATGTAATAGCCCGAGGAGAAAGGAGGAATCTCGTGAATGGATATGTGCGTGGCCGGTATCTTGTAGTTATTCATCAGATAATCGCGCTTTGCATCGCTTCCCGCTGTGCGATATATCTGTTTCTGGCTGTAAGCTTTCTCTGCTGGCTTCGGACTCGTTTTAATGAGCTGGCTAAGTTGCGACTCTTATGTATCCCGTTTACGTGTCCAAAACTTGCAGCTTACCTTGGCTTCTAGTGTCTGTGTAATCTGGACCGCCGCTAGGCCAACTCCTCCACGAGCTGCATCTATGAGAACGGACTGTGGCATAGAAACATGTTAGTATTGGTACAATAGATTGAGGCGCTCTGTTATAGTCCAAGCCATGGGATGGTACGCACCTGGTCTTGCTGAAAATTGGCCTTGTCTACCAGCGCTATGAGAGCCGTGGCGTAGACGAGTAGCACTGCAGCGGCTTTCTTGAAAGTCATTGAGTCGCCTATTGGAACACAGAGCGAGGCTTTAGCTAAATGCGTCGTGTTAAAACATTCGGTTTCCAATACATCATCAGATCCTTAATCAAGAAGCACGAGACCCCAGGCCCTGTTACTCGGATAACACTGCTACTCCCGAACACCATTTCACTAGGGTTGTTCTCAATAATATTCAGCGCGATAGGGACATCACAACGCAGTTCCTGTTAGGATTTCGATTTAGTTGTAGATACACGGAAAATTTCATGTGTAGACTGGGGATTTAAGTCTGACCGAACGAGCTCAAAGTTTCCCTGTTTGGTGGACTCGGGATTGCGAAGATCGATAATGCGTACCCGGAAATTCAACCCGAGGACCCTACTGTCCACAAGAACCTCACTATGTCCAGGTAAATTGCTGCTCAAAGCCTGGTTCCATGCCATGATATGTAACAAGCTCGGCATTCTCATGGTGATTCCTCATGGAGCAGCCGTCAAACCATCAGTCTTGTTCTTGGTCCTGGGCTGATCTGACTGGAGCAACGCCTCAGATAACGTTTGTCAATGAGCTCGTGAGACAAGTATTGCCTCTTTTACAATGGCGTACTCGTAGTCGGTATTCCATGGACTCGTGGGAGTCAGGGCTCTCCGTCTGGGCTCGGTGTAAGATCCTTAGCTACAGCACTAGCTGCCGTCGTAGCCGGAGTCGTCTCCTCGTCGACTTCGACGGTAAAGAGTTCTCGTTACATGCAGTCTGGGCGAGACCGAGAGATATGGCCGCCCGTAGATCTCTGATATCGCCAACTTGTAAGGCGGGCGTCAATCAGAGTATTAAAGCTCCATTTAAAGTTAGGTATCCTTTAATAATCTCAAAGCCTCCTCAGAAATTTAATGAAGAATTGGATCTTGGAGATTTATCACCGAAATCACATTATCCTGCGGCGGTCATTGTTGTCCCAAGCGGCAAATATTAACAGCCATATTTGAAGCTTCCAGGCTCTGTCGCACGTCGAACACGTATAGGCCGTTAGGAGTGTAACAAATCAAGGTAGACTATTCTTTTTTACCTTTCTGCCCGGACACGATAATTCCAGTGTTTATCTGATTTAGCGCTGAGTTATTAAGGATAATACTCTCAGTCTCCGAGAAGCCGACATCGAGCAGTTCCTTGGTCCACCTCTGTGGCGAAGTGAATGGCTGGTTGTCTCCAGCGCCGAGCCACCAGCCTGGGAGTATCCTGTAGAAGGTCTGTGAGTATATTCCATGTCGTTCAAGTAGCACGATGTCACACGGTTACACGAGGGTTACGACCACGGGACCTAGGGCAAAGACCCTCACCGACTTGTTCTACTTATAGAGACCTTTGGTCCCTCAAGGACTTGGAAAACTAATGACCTTTAATACCAAAGACTGTTATTAGATGAATAGAGCTGTTGCCCGAAGCCCTCCTTGAGCCCTTATCACACATGAGTTAAAAAAAAAGAGCATCAACTTACCATAAGGTGGTTTACGAACATCGCATTTATGGCGTTTAGTAAGTACATGCAGTCATTGGTGTGTGTTACTGTCGGTAAAATTTGCAGTTGGTATTAAATTATTCTATACTTACCAGGACTGTGCTCTTCTAAAAAAAGTCGCCTCTGTGGGTTAAGTAGCCTATGCATGTTTCGGAGAGTCGTATTTAAGTTTAAAGTGACATGAATAACCCATCATAGAAGGTTTTAGCATTTTCGGCGGTATTTATACATATATAGATATCTGATGAAGACTTTAAAATAGACAAAAGCTTAGATTAGCGGCACGATCAAGTCGTAGCTGCCAAGCTTGAACCCTTGATCTAATGAAACATGTAGAATGGTATACTCCATAGCTGCATTATTGGCAGATCTTTGTTTGGCCGCTGTGAATAAGCCAAACGACACGTCTCTGTAAGCGTAGGTGCTATAAAATCGCTGGCCGTATGCTGATGTCAGTGCCTGCAGAATATGAGCGGTCGTTGCCCCGGTGCCGGCCTGGACTTCAAGGAAGCCTGATGGAAATTATGATATTATCACGTGCGTCGGGACACTAACCAAGGGTCATGTCGCGCCAAATGTGCTGGCAGAGTTGGCGACGCTTACTGCCAAGTTTGGATTGATTGTGTGACAAGGGCTCGTTACGAGGGCTTGGAGCAAAAGGGGCTCAATTCAATAAGAATCTCGTAGGATGTCAAAGGTCTTGAGCTGCCTCGAGGACGGAAGGGAAAGGTGACCTCTATATATACATGAAAGGAACGCCCGGGCCAAGGGCTCTTGCCCGGGCACGTGTTCCAGCTGTGTAACCAATAAGTCCTTTATCGGTGAAGCCCCTTTGTTGGGCTTCACGATCTGTTGGGCCTTTTTCGTGTAACAGATTATTGCTACAGTGCACGAAGATCTCTGGGAGAGTAGCGGCTTAAAAACTGGAATTGACAAGTTGCAACACGTTGGAATTGTGTAGATTGTAAGCATGATAAAGAGACTGGATATAGCGAGCCTGCACTACTAGGAGAGTTCACTTTTGGTAGTGTCAATAGCGGTTGGAAATACAACAGCAATTTACAGAGCGGAAAAAGTGGTTATTGGGGAGGCTTTTGGAGGCTCCAATTCAACGCATTCGATGATATTGACGATGGATCCAAATCTCTGTTGGACGCACTGAAGTATTGGCAATAGACCACTAGAAAAAGCAACTATCATGACCAACAACCTCTGAATATCTCCCTTGTCATCCAACAGTATCATAAAATGGTATCCGGCGTGGATGAAACAAAAAGAAAACAATAATAAATTACAAAATACAAACGTATTTAAGATATAAGGAATTCTCTGCTTCTCACAATATACAGATATAACGTGTGTCCAACGCAATAGATCATGCCGATAAGTAATCTGTCTACCGAGTTCGATCTCTCCCTCTTTGACCTGTCTACTGTGCGCAAGCTCAGCAAACCTGGGGTCGTCAACTGCCATTAATCGGTAGTGTGCAGTATACTGAAAGTCTTGTGCCTAAATAAATCGAAGTAGGATGTGCGAATCGAGCTTATCACTACCACACAGCAGGGTTGATTTCTACAGCTTGGCCAAGTAAAACACTCTTGATTTTCCCTATAATAACTAGATTTATATGAAAGACTAAATACTTGTTATAGTATTACGACTTGCTAAGCAGCTGTATAGCAATTATTGTTGTCTGAAAGAGCCACTTGATCTTGATAATTAGTATGAATTAACCATGCCCGTGTACACAGAAAGCCTAGTTTGTAACTGCAGTCACCAGTCGACGGCCGGCCGAGCTTAAACTCCCGTGGAGAACTCCATACAACGGCCGTCGCTTTACTACCAGAAAACAGCACCACCTCTCCCCGGCTCAGGGTCCTAATAGCCAGCATGTCGCCAAATAGACTTAGTCATCTGTCTATCCTAGACGCAATATCCCCACAAGCCCTGCTGGATCCGACCGCAACCGCAGCCCCTCTGATGAAGAGACTGGCAGGAAGCGGGGGTTACAGCTCTAGGATCAGTCTTTGCAAGACAAACACAGCTGCGTCCGTTTGCACAGTCACTTGCTTTCCCGAAAGGACAAGCAGGAGTAGGGGGAGGAGGTGGAGGCGGAGGCGGGCATACATAACAGTCGGCATCAAAGAACCACCCGGGGTTTACGTTGGCCACAGGTCCCTTGCAGACTTCGGCACTGCCAGTGTATAACCAGCATCCGCCATTTTCGGCCTTCCAGACGTGAAATGACTTGCAGTTCGGGTTCTTTTGACACGCCTGGGCGCACTGGTCTATTGTCCCGGCTCCGCTTGAGATAGTGCCAGCCCGACCCGGGCAATTGGCGCCGATGCTATTGCCCTCAAGCTTACAGGCCGGGTGTGCCTGATTGGCCTGGCTAGTGGCATTGGCTGCGAATGCAGCCTGCAGAATTGCCAGCAATACGATGCCTGTGGATAGTGGTAGCCGCATATTCCAAGCCAACAAGTGTCAGTATAGATGGAGAGTTTGCGATTCCTTAATTGTCAAAGAGATAGAAGGCCAGATAAAAGATGACTGCGAATGACGGCAAGCGTGGATCAATTTCCGGCCGGGCATCATTGGTACTTATAGTTGGTTTTCCCTCTAGCTCGTATGCTTAGAACCAAGTCTTCGTCCTCCCTTCTCCCCTCACAGGCATAACAGAATTTGATGCAAAAGTGCCTCTGACTAGAGTGTATTAGATTGTGTACTACATTACAAAGCTGAAAAAGCGTCTGTCACTCTCACATTCTCATATGTGACTTCACACACAGATGGTCCCACCAGGTTCCACGTATTTGGCCGTTGAGATACTGACGCAAGTGGCGGTAACAACTTATTAGCTGTTCAAAACATATCACTGTCTTGGAATTAACCCAAAGATTATTGCCGTCACTCAGATATACGCCAGCGTTCGTAATCCTCGATCAACTGCAAAGTGACTGATCATGGTGACAGCAAAAGCTGAACCTGGCAAGTATCACAGAGTAGGTCACACGTCACACACATACCTGACTAACTTACCAATTGGCTGTTGTGATGAGACCTTGTCTTGGATTGCCCACACGAGCACGTGGACGGCAGCTTGTAAGTAGACCCATGGCCGGTATTATCTGCCGCTCAAGGTATCCATTAATAAATTTCAAGTCACGGCCACATGGCTGCCTTGAGACGCAGAAAAGACCCGAGGCCAGTGTACAGGCGTCGACCTCTACAGAGGTCTGCGATACCCGAAGGATCTCTCATTACGGCGCGGATGCGTAAATCGGGACACTTTCCACAGTACCCAATATTGTCTCGGATTCACGGCAAGTGGCTGGCTGGAGCAAATTGCCTCGCCTGTCTCATCACAATACAAAATTTACATGGAAACAAAAAATCCAGATTGATTGAACTTGTCACCTAGGCGGTGCCGACGTTGAAGAGAACAAAGTCATCATACTACTGTCTTAGTTCTGTGATATGGCTGATATCAAGTGTGCTGCTCCTCTTTCAGTCAGTAGTAGCGGTGCCATGTAGTAAGTAGATCGTGTAGAAAACGATCTAATTAACAAATCCACGACAAAACAGAGTAGAGTAGGGCTTAGTCATGCCAAATTCAGCTCTTATCGTAAATCCAGGAACTGTGGCTCTTGTGATCCTTTAGAGAGAAGTAAGAGGAGTAAAATGTAAGTCGTGCTCGCTTTCTGACTGCTTGGGCCAATTTTCTATGCCCTTGGGTCTTCAGCTGAGCTGGCTGATCTTGACTTGTGTGAGTCGCGGGTATCCAAGCGGTTGTGTAATGATGACTACGGGTCTTCGGTTCAATAAGAAACGGCCGCTCCTTAGATTAAGATAGGAAATAGAAAAATGTTTTTATAACCCTTAAACGTGAAAAAAAGTACCATCTTTATACGTGATGAGTAGTCCACTGCGTTGCGAGACTATTGTGAAATCTGCCTAATCTTGTGAAAACATTCGAGTGAGGCCCTGTATTCAGAACTGTAACGGCCTTTGCGAAACTGGCAACATCCCTTGCTCCCGATACGTGAGTGGCCTACTGAGAAGTTTAGGCATAATATTTTGAGTCTGTAGAAAGGAATAATGTAGTGGTTTGAATGTTACCATGAACGCTAGGCTCACTACTATCTAGGGTGCAGTGCTCTGGAGTAACACTTTTTATTTATCTATTGAAAGTAATTATTAATATGAGAGGCAACGTAGATGGTTGGACTGTGGTTCGTCGTTATAGAAAAAAAAAAAAGAG